AGCAGAAGCTCAGGACCACCAGAGTTCAAGTACTCAGCCCACTTGGCCTGAAAACACACTGGGTATGTGCATGTGTGCGCAGGATCCTGGTAAACTGGAAGGCTGGAGGAGAGGAGTCGCAGCAGAACTGAGCCACGTGAAGGGTGCTTCTCTTTCTCTCTGTGTGAGTGCACACGAGGAAAAAAAAGTAGTATATTCATACAATGGAACAGTATTCAGCCATGAAAAGGAATGAAGTTCTGATACATGCTACAACATGGATGAATCTTGAAAACATTTTACTAACGGAAATAATCTAGACACAAAAGGACAACTACAGTATGATCCCACTTATATGAACTATCTAGAATAGGAAAATGTATAGAGACAGAAGGAACAAAGGCTATCAGAAGAGAGGAGAATGGGAAGTTAGTATTTAATGGGTGCAGAGTTTTGGTGTGTGGTGATCAAAGTGTTTGGGAAATAGACAGTGATGCCAAAACACTGTGAACACAGTTGATGCCTTTGGATTATACACTCAGAATGGTTGGAATATGTGATGTATATTTTACTAGAAAAAGAGGGACCAGCAGTTAGCATAATGGCTATGTCGCTGGACTCCCACGTAGTCGACCGCGGTTCGTGTCCCGGACCCGGTGGTTTAAACTCACGCCGGGCGCATGCGCATGCGTGCCCAAGATCCCGAGAGGAGAATGGAGGAGAAGGGACTGTGGCGTGACCATCCCCCCTGGAGGGTGATTTCTCGCTTTCTATCTCTCTGTCTGTCTCTGTCTGTCTGGCAAGTGCATGCGCCATATAGCAAAAACCTCTCAAAAAATAAAAAAATAAAAAATAAATAAAAAGAAAAAGCTAAAATAGCAAATTACAGGGCCAGCAGGTGGCACAGTAGTTAAGACACTGGACTGCCACATGGTTGACCATGGTTAAAATCGCGGATGTGGTGGACCGAAAATCATGGCAGGCATGTGTGCGTGTGTGCCCAAAATCCCAGAAGGAGAATGGAGGAGAAGGGACTGTGGCATGGCCATCCTCCCAGGATAGTGATTACTTGCTTTCCCTCTCACTGTCGCTGTCTCTCTCTCTGGTGAATGCACATGCCCTATGGCAAATTTTATGTTTTATACATTTTATCACAAAAATATTTGCAATTCAGTTTCTAAGTCACAGTAGCCACATTGCATGCACGCAAGAGCCATGTGTGGGTGGTGACCACCAACTACCATACCGGGTAGCACGGACATAAAACATCTGCAATGACACAAAAAGCTCTCTTAGCTCTTCTTATCAAGAAGCTAAAACCAGCAGTTCCGAATGCAACGAGATGGATAAATGAGCAAACACTCACGCACACAGCACCATGTCTGGTTGCCCCCGCAGCCAGCTGCGTTACAAAATCTTAAATAAACAGTACCTGCACACCTTTCAGGCCAGAGAAGACGTGGGCCAGCACATTCTCCCAAGGTTTTAAAAAGAGGCATTCTAGAAATTAGAGGAATAGCCAGTAACAGAATATTGGAAAGAAACTGTGGTCTCAGTGAGAAAAAGCTTCACACCTATCTTTTCTGAGTCTTGGCTTCTTCATCTAAAAACCAAGGGGTTTGTGACCAGCAGATGGTGTAATAGTTGCTGAACTTCCACATAGGTGACCAACGGTTCGAATCCTGGACCCAGCAGCTTGAAACTCACGTTGGGCGCATGTGTGTGCATGCCCAAAATCCCAAGAGGAGAAGTGATTAGGGCGTGGCCATCCCTCCTGGGGGGGGGGGTGATGTCTTGCTTTCTGTCTCTCTGTCTTTGTCTTTCCTCCAAGTGCCCATGCCCTATAGCAAAAATCTTTCTTAAAAACAACAACAACCAAAAATACAAGTGGTTCAACTAGATGCATTCCGATTCTTAACTTTTTGATCTTATTGGTACCTTAAAAGATACCTGAAAAAATTGAGGCAAAAATTGCTAACCAAATAATTTTTTCAGGATCATCGGAAGTTAAAACTCAAGTTTAACCTGGTTACACTTCAGTTGTATTCAACACCAGCTGCACACAAGAGTCACCTGGAAACTTAGATAAAAAGCCTGTGCCCTGACTCACATCAACTGAAGCTCAGTCTCTGGGGTGATGCCCAGGCATCTAGAGTTTTTGTTTTTAAGTTTGTTTGTTTATTTATTCCTTCTGAGAGAAAGAGAGACAGCCCAACGGGGTTCCCACGTGTGATCCGCCCCTCAACAAGCCCAGGTTGCAGGCAAGAGCATATGCCCGTGTGCCCGTGATTAACACAGTGCCACCACCTGGCTTCATCTAGTTTTTTCTGTCTTGTTTTGTTTTTAGGTTTTGGCTATAGGACCTGTGTGCACACCAGAGAGAAGAGAAACAGTGAGAGGGAAAGTGAAAAATCACCTTCTGGGGGGATGGCCATGCCACAATCCCTTCTCCTCCATTCTCCTGCTGGGATTTTGGGCATGCAGGCACATGCACCTGGCAGGAATTTCAGGCTGCCAGGTCCAGGACTCAAACTGTGGTTGGCTATGTGGGAGTCCAGTGCCTTAACCACCATGCCACCTGCTGGCCCCCATCTAGAGGTTTTAAAAGCTCCCCATAGTGGTTCTGACACACACGAGGGCTTAAGAACTACTACGCTGGAACCTAAGTGATGACATACTTCAGGCAATAAAAAATAATGGGGAACACTTTCCTCTCTCCTTTTTGTCAGGTAACCAAAGCTATATCCCCACAGATGGCGACTGACAAGAGGAAGGTTAAGCGTATTACAAATACAACTCTTTCTAAGTTGATTTTTATAATGAAAGAGAGTATCTGTCTGAAAAAGAGCCAAGCTCAAAAAAACACACTAGATTACTAAAATCGGAATACTGAAATGAGGGCAAGCCCCGTGGCGTGGTGGTGAAGTGCTGTGCATTGGAAGCCAGACCCCATATGTTGCTGCAGTTCGAATCTCAGTTCTCACAGCTTGAAAACAAGTCTGGCACGTGTTCATGCATGCCCAAAATCTTGATGGGAAGAAGGAATGGAGAAAATCGGATTGTGGTATGATTATGCCCATTTGGAGGGTGCTTTCTCTCTCCTCTCTCTCTCTCTCTCTCTCCGGCAGGATGTACCCTCTGGCAATAAGAGAAAATAAGAAGGAAAAAAAAAAGTTCTGAAATGAATTCTCACGCATTAAGAAATGAATTCTCTAAAGTTCACAGAAGAAGAGGTAAGCATGACGGGAAGACTTTTGCAGGTTGAAAGCACTCTAACAGGGTCATTAGGGAGTAGACAGCTGTCTGTGAGACAGGACCATAACGGGACACGAACCATGCTGCTTTAAACATTTTCCATCTCTGGCTGCCAAAGGGATCTGTCCTTTACTGCGTGCCACAGAACTGAACAGAAACACTTAACCATGACTGCTCCACAGGGGACAAGGAAGTGGGAGGCTAGGCGGGCAACTGCTTCCCAAGGCCACAAGTAAAGATGTCGGCTGATTTTTACTGACAGGTTCATGTACGCACTTTCCAGATACGATTTATCTGGATTCACACAACACCCTCGTGAGGTATATACTACTATCACTTCATGGTTAAAGAAACTGAGAGACGCAGAGGTTTAGAAAACTTGCTCAGAGCCACCCAGCTAGCAGGAAAAGAGCTAAGATCAAAACCCAGGAAGTCTGATTCCACAGCATGGGTCCTTAACCAGTACGCACACCGCCTACCTCCCTCTGGCACTTCCAGGCAGGAGTGCTGTGAGTGACCGAATCGGGGCCAGACACAAAGACCAAGAGAGGAAGGGGAGGGGAGAACGGAGGAGCGCGTCAGGACGGCAGGTCCAGGGGGTGAACCGTGGATGAGGCTCGGAGACACGTATCTGAGGAAGTGGGGAATTATAAAATGTCCCGAATTCTCAGCACTGTAATACACATCCGCCAAATGTCTAAAGACCAGATTTAAGGTGAATGAAGCAGAGGAAAAAGGAGAAATACTAGGTATTAAATCAATCTAAAACCCAGCGATGGGGAGTAATGAGGTGCGCTAAGTAGAGGGAGACTGAACTCTGCCAATCCAGGAGTATTCAAAGAGAAACACGCAGCTTTTCCTGAGGAGCGGAGGGTTTTCATGAGAAAAGTACATTTTCTCTATGATCAGATGGTCAGGTTACGTGAACAGGTAATGCGAGCATCAGTCACCGCAGAAATCTATAACAAATTGCAAACAAGTAAACTCACATTCCGTTTACAAACTTAGTGTGTGGAACACAGGTCTCTGTAGCAACCCTCAAAAGCACGTGAAGGCTAGTTGGCTGAATTTTACCCAAATCCTAATTCTAGACGTATATTTTAACGTCCTTTCTCACTCAACACCTTCCCCAGGTAGAATGGATGGGAGTCACATGCCGATGACATTGTATCTTACATGATGACATCAGATGACTTAGAAACTGTGCAACGAGCATGCCGCAGATAGGAAAGGAACTAAAATAAAGGGGTGATGCTAAACCACAAGCTGGACAGTAAGTCTGGGAGCAAATTCAGCTCTGGCCGCCATCTCGGGTAGAACGTGCTGGAGGGAAAATAAAGGCATCTGACAGGTGACTTTATTGCCCTTGCTTTTTACTCTGTTGTTAAACGGAAGAGTCAGCCGGCCACGTGAACACAAGGACCAGACGTGGACTTTCTGATACATAAACCAACATAACAACTAGATACCCTTGATCGCTACGTGAGCACCTCGAGCTCATGAAGCGCTTGTACAAACAGACTGCACCTGTCACTGGGATATGGAGCTTCTCAGAGATGCCTGGGTCTCAGAACTGCTGTGGGAAGATGAATATAATAAAGGACTTCGAAAGCTTTAAAGGGCTTTTCAGTAGACTTTATAACGCATATCTGGATGATAAAAACCAGGAACCGAGAGTCTTTTGTACAGATAAGTAAAGACGGTATACGTTCACAGACACCGGGAATGCAGGTAAGAAACAAGAGTCCAAACTTTGTAAAGGATACGGTCGGTACCAGGAAACAACGTTCTTCCAGTCAACAGCTCAGCCATTATGCATCCCACTGACCAGATATCCACTGGCAGATTAAAGAGAAAAAAAAGGACATATGATATCACTATTATTATACTTGGGCACATGTGGAAAAATAACCATGCCTGAAATATTCAAATTAATATTTATGATAGCTGAGATATCAAAACTCATACTCGTTTTTACAGAAATAAATAAGCTTATTAATAAGATACCTTCACCCCATTTAGGAGCTTCATCAGCAAGTCAAAACATATTTAATGGAAGAGAAATAACCTAGTCACCAGCTGGAAGAAGTTTCTTCCGGGTAGAATGGTGGATTCTTCCACATAATATTGAGGGGATCAGATTATGAGCCCACTGTGTTCAGGTAGAAGTATTCAGAACATACACTGAAAATCTAAATAAAAACCCAATTGCTAAGTCACTGAGTTCAGAAGCTGTGTATAAAAACCCTACTTCCCCCACTGAGCAAGTGAAATGTTTTCTACCTGTGGGCTTTGAAAGGGCCACAGAGGTAAGAAACACCGTGTCTTCCCACCCGCTACCAGTTTTAACGCCGAGAATCCCAAACGGTATTAACAAGGCTCTAAATGACCAACATGAACGGCACCTGTCTGGTTGTAATGCATCCAGTTCAGCATGATCTCCGGAGCCCGGTACCACCGAGTGGCCACGTAGCCTGTCATCTCATCATCTGTGTGCCGAGCCAGTCCAAAATCCAGGATCTGCGGCGGAGAAGGCAAGTTAGACACTGACCACTGTGACTTATAAAGCAGTCAGGGAAAAAATACTTTATTAAACAAAAACTACACTTTCATGAACAGGTTTTCTGGTCCATGCTCGGCATGATAAAACATAGCTACAACTTTAAAAAACAGAATTACAAAGAGCAAAATAAAAAGGCCTCTCATAGGGATTTACTCAAGAGCAATGAAAATATACATCCACACAGAAGCTTGTCATGGTAGCCCCAAACCAGAAATGAAGCAGATGTACATCAACAGGTAGACGAATAAGCAAACTCTGCTATGTTCATAACATGGAATACTCCTTAGCAATAAAAAGAAACTACTGATACATACATACAAAAGCAAATAACATTATACCCAGAAAAAAAAAAATAGAGAGACTGCACGGCTTCATTTATATGAAACTCCAGAAAACATAAATGTAATCTATAGTACAAGAAAGGGACTACCTGGAGCTAGGACTTGGGGTGGAAGACTGGGGATCAGCTAGCGCACAGAACTTTCCAAACTGATAGAAATGTTTTCTATTGGGACCAGCAGTTTGCGTAATGGCTATGTCCCTGGACTCCCATGTGGTTGACCGCGGTTCACGTCCCAGACCTGGTGGCTTAAAACTCACGCTGGGCGTGTTGTGTGTGCATGCCTAAGATCCCGAGAGGAGAATGGAGGAGAAGGAATTACGGCGTGGCCAGCCCCCCTGGGGGGGCTCATTTCTTGCTTTCTGTCTCTTTGTCTCTCTCTGGTGAGCACACGTGCCCTGAAGCAAAAACCTCTCCAAAAAAAAAAAAAAAAAGAAATGTTTTCTATTATAAGTGTGGTGGTTATATGGATATATAAATTAGCCATAATACACACTTACAATGATATGTTTTATTATATGTAGATTGTTTTTTTAAAGTTCAGTTAAAAAAAAAAAGGAAATGAAACCAAAAAATTCCAGAGCTGCTTACTCTTTATAGACAATTCACTTATTTCTGAGTAGAATTATTTTACATGAATGGGTCTCTGCCATTTTTCCTCCTAGGAATCCATTTAATTAAATAATTACCTTTTCAAGACTGCTTACTTGATAGTCACACTATAATTCTCCTTTATAATAGTTAGTATGATACCTTTGTAATTTAGCTTTATTTTAAAATGAAAACAAGACACCTGATGGCCCTTTCAATGTCATTTAAATAGCTTCCTCAGTCTATGATTTAAACTCCAACGTCTGATATTTCTTAGAAAAGTATAAAGTGTCAGGAAAAAAGGTACGGTGCAGCCGACAGGTGGCGTGGTGGTTAAGGTGGCTGGACTCCCACATGGCTGACCATGGGTCGAGTCCTGGTCCTGGCGGCTTCCTTTCTCACTTTCCTTCTCTTTCTGCCTGTCTCTGGTCAACTTTAATAAAGTAAAATAAATAATGACAATAAATAAATAAATAAATTTTAAAAAGGAAAAAATCTATGGCTTCTAAATCTATTCTCTATAAAAGTTTTCCTGGTTAGGCAAACATATAATCTCAAGATGAAGCAAATAATCACTACCATCTCTTCATTTTACCTTCAGCTCACAGTCTTCATTCACAGCTAGATTACTGGGTTTTAGGTCCTAGGGAACAAGTAAGAAAGGACAGGATCAGCTTTATTATGCACAATAAATTCTCTTCCTACAGGTACTAGTGAAGATTCAGATTCCAAAGACCTCAGGGGCTGGCAGGTGGCGTGGTAGTTAAGGCACTAGATACTCTCACATGGCCTATCACTTCGAGTCCTGGACCTGCTGGCTTGCTTTCTCACTTTCCCTCTCTTTCTGTCTCTCTCTGGTCAAATTAAAATAAATGAATGAATAAATAAAAAATTAAATAATTCTTTAAAAAGAAAAAGTAAGACCTCATTCAACTATAAACAGGCGATCTCCATTCTATAGTCAGAATCTACTCCATATTATTCTTAAACAGGTACAAACTATACATCTTTCTTTAATCAGTCTACATATCGACTGAAGTTGCAATCAATTAATATTTCAAGGTCTGGAGTCGGCAGGTGGCATGGTTGTTAAGGAGCTGGACTCCCACATGGCCGACCACGGTTCAAATCCAGGATCTGGCAGCTTGCTTTCTCACTTTCTCTCTCTCTGATGAACGCATATACCTTACAGTAAATTTAAAATAATAATAATAATAATAATAAATAAAATTAAATATTTAAAAAAATATTCTGGGGACCAGCAGTTAGCATAATGGCTATGTCACTGGACTCCCATTAGTCGACTGTGGTTCTAGTCCAGGACCCAATGGCTTAAATTCACACCAGGCACATGTGCGTGCGTGCCCAAGATCCCAAGAGGAGAATGGAGGAGAAGGGACTGCAGTGTGGCCACCACCCCTGGGGGGTGATTTCTCGCTTTCTGTCTCTCTGTCTCTCTGGCAAACGCACACGCTCTATACCAAAAAACCTCTCTAAAAAAATAAATCAGTAAAACTATTTCAAGAACTTACATAAAGTAAGTTTAGATTAGGATCTTGGCTAATTGCCATCCTTCTACTTCTACCCCATTCCCCCCCCAAATTTAATCGAAGTCATAATACGTACCCTGTGAATTATGTCAGCTGAATGTATATACTGTAAAAGAGAAAAAAAGTCAGTGGAATCAAAGTTATCTCCAATCTCCTGTTGTCGTATTATATAAAATATTTGCACATTTACTATACCCATGATTTCCACAGCTAGTGACTCCACTCACTTGAGCTTTCAACCTTTTTTCTCGTAGGTGCTGTGGAGCTTACTAAGGACTCAAAGTTGTTGAATATCGAAGATGGTTTTAATTTTAAAATACTGTTTACCTGCTCGTCCCACAAATGAATTAGCCTCTATGAGGATTTTTTTTTAAAAACTTCAATATTCTACTGACCATATATTAGATTATATAAAAAATTATTAAGTTAGAGGTAATACTGAAGAGTCCTTATCTTTCAGACAGGCACATATCTGAAAGTATCTATGGAATGATGTCTAGGCTGGCTTTAAAACAGTCTGGGGACGGAACCAGCAGTTAGCGTAATGGCTATGTCACTGAACTCCCATGTAGCCGACCATGGTTCAAGTCCCGGACTCAGTGGCTTAAACTCACACCGTGTGCATGTACGTGCATGCCCAAGATCCCAAGAAGAGAATGGAGGAGAAGGGATTGCAGTGTGGCCATCCCCTATGGGGGGTGATTTCTCGCTTTCTATCTCTCTGTCTCTCTCTTTCTGGCGAGCACACGTGCCCTATAGCAAAAACCTCTCCAAAAAAAAGTTTAGGGACTTGGTCATGGTGGTGCAAATGCAGGGCACCGCTGGGCAAGCCTGAGTCACAGAAGGGGCCCAGGTTTGGATCTCAGACCAGCCTAAACAGAATAGGTACGACAGCATGCACCTGTAATCCTGGCTAACAGGAAGGCTGGGGCAGAGGATTGCTACAGCAACACCCTGTCCAAAAAAAATACCTATTTCTCTCTCCTTCCTTTCTCCCAGGCTTAGGTATGCTTGTTCTTGCTCTCTCATTTAAAAAATCCTCCTCCGCCTCCTCATCCTCATCAGCATCTGGGGCTTGGGAAATACCTAAGAATCAAGATTGGCCACATGCTGATAACTATGGCTTCTGAGTGAACATGGTGGCTCACTCCACTATGATCTTTACTTGGTAAGTGTCTGAATTTCCCACAAGAAAAGTTATTTGCTTGTTTGTCTGCAGTTCTAGACGAAAGGAAGGGAGGGAAAGGGAAAGGCATTTCTCAGAATTATTACTCATATTGTCTGTACCTTTAAACCTCGAAGAATTTGGTAGATAAGGAACTGAACGTGGTCATCTGTAAGCTTCTGACACTTCACAATGTTGTTCAGATCTGCCCCCATAAGATGGGTCACGAGATACCTAGAAATTAATGGAGAGTCGTTACTCAATATCCAGAACCCCAAAGGAAACTTATTTTTTCACAAGACTTCCTAAAAACATGTCAAGAAAAGGCCACCCAGGAAGTACCTCGATGACAGCTAAAAGCTCAACAGCTACTCATGGGCGTGTGGGAGGAGGGTGGCCTCGTACTCATCATCCCTGTTCTAACTTGACTACCTTGCCATCTATTCTAAAACTTCTCACACTTGTTTCTATTTGATCTATCTTTTCCCAGGTTCTCTGAAGAAGAAAAAGAGAAAAAGGCAAAGACCAAGATTAAAAAAGATACATATATCTGTATCAGTTTTCCTAAAAAGGATTCTTGCATGAGAAATATACAGCTCAGTGCATGGCCGTAATACAGTACCTTGTGTTTGTAAATCCATCATTATATTTCACCTCATTCTAAACCTTTGATGTTGTAGGCTCTAAAATAGGAGTATATTCAGATTTCAAACTATTATTCTCATCTTTTCAGGAATGACTAGCAAAAAGATACTGTTCATTGACAATATCCCTTCTAGGGAGGAATACATTTTATCTGTAGGCAAGATGAGGCATTCCAGAACTTCTCCTCACCGGTATGGTGCTGGTCGGTGCTGGTGGTTAATCCTGTCTTCAAGATTAGGGAACAATTTACATTCAAGTCCAACAGGTTCACCAGGGATATACTAGACACAGTGCTTAAACCTATTCTGAGTCAAGAGCACTAATCATTACACCAAAGGGTCACCCCCTTTAACCCATTCATTACTGTTATTACAAAACTACCAGAAATGTAAAACCAGTTTAGTAATAATGAGGCTGAATTTTCAAAAATTTGAATAGGTTTTGAGGACAAAAGTCTTTCAAAAGAGCCTGGGGGAGTCACACCTACAAACATGAACAGCTCATTGATAATGGGACGTTTCCTACACCCAGCCCTGGCCTAGCGCTCTCCGACACACACTAACCCTTCTCTCCGCTAATGGGAAGGAGGCATTCCTTTGTGGATTTGTTTGGAAAGAGATTTGTGGTTGTTTTGTTTTTTTTTTTTCCAACTATTAACATAAGAACCTCTAAACCTGCCTACACCCTCCCAGATGTCCTGCCTTTTAGGGCTGGACAAATGTATTCTTTACGCTGATTTACAAACTTGATGTCTCAGGCTCTCAGAACAAGATAAAAGGAACTGCTGTATCTGAAGTCCCCGAGACACACTTCTGTCTTTCTCCAGAGCTGGTCACTCAACTTTGTACTTAAATCACATTAATTGCGATTTCTGTAGAGCTTGGTTATTTCCATTGATGGTTTTATCTATTGTCCAAGAATTATTCCCATTCCTGAGGGTGAGTAGTAATGTACAACATATCTGATATGAAAAGAAAAACCTGAGGCAATCTGATATATTGAATAGCAGAGTTTAACTGAGCAAAAATGACTCAAGTTGGGCAGCCCCAGAATGGCTTCCAAGAAACTCCAGATAGGCCACATGGTGGGTTAACATTTATGTGCAAGAACGAGAAAGTGAAATACCAAAGGAAGAGAGGGAATGCGTCGGAGAAATAACTGGAGAGGTTACAGCTGGATGACTGCCTGCATGAGCCCAGGTTAAAGGGTGGGCTGTCTGAGATGGACTGAAGTGTGGCTACCATGACTGTTGTAACTCAACAATGCAGTAAGGAAGCGGACTTCCAAGTGACGCTGTGGTTTGCTTATGGAACAGGAGTATGGAGGCCTGTTCAGGGCGATAAAGTTTAACACTGATGAGCTCTAGAGAATGCTGCTTCCGTTGCATTTCTATTTTTATTTTTTTATAAAGATGGAGGGAAAGAAACTATTTAAATGGACTATTCAATAACATATTGTATGACGAAGGCTGGTTTCATAGCCCAGTGGTTAAGGGAGATGGATCCCACGTGGTCAACCAGAGTTTGGACTGCAGCTCGAGTAGCTTCCGACACCCACAGGGCGCTGTGCTGCATGCTCCAGGTCCCAGCAGGATGGAGAAATGGAGATGAGATTGCAGCGTAACCACATTCCCCTGAGGGGTACATACACCCCCCCCTCTGGTGTGTGTATGTACCCTCTAGCCAAATACCTGTGCACACACAACATATGGGTAAGTGTGTGTGCAACCTCTCTTTATACACACAAACACAGCCAATACTATTACTTCCTTCCCTCCCACAGGAACTTAAATTTTATTCCTGCTTCACCTGTAGGGTTGCCATGGTGAGTTTTCAATTTCACTAAGATCAACGGAACTTATCTTTACTGTAATTTTAAGGTAAGATTTTAGCATTTCCTATTTTTAAAGCATCCATGTTTATATTGCCCTGAGGAAAGGGAGAACTCAAAACATGATTTACAGAGTAAATAAGACATTCTGAAATGTTTGCATAAAGGTCATGTTGACTAATAAGATGGTGCACACTCACCATAACCACCAAAAGCCACTACCACTTACTCTGTGCCAAGCACCGGAGTAAGCAGATTACTGTGTCCACGTCTCATGGACTCTTCCAGCAACTCTAGAAGGTAAGACCCATTAGTATTCCCATCTCATTGATAAAGAAATGATGACAGAACAAAACAAGTAACCTGCTCAAGGTCAAAGGAATGGTAATGTCAGGAGTTGAACCCGAAATCGTCTGAGCTCAGAGACCATGATCTTAAATCACAGCACACACTGCCTCCAGTTGACATGGAATTTTTTTTTTAAGTTTTGAGGCTGGCCCCATAGCCTAATGGTTAAAGGAGCAGATTCCACATGGCCCAGTGGAGTTTGAACCTGGCCAAAATGGAGAAATGGGGGAGAAGGAGTAGTGGTGTAACCACTCCCAATGGGGGAGTCTCTCTCTCTCAAACACATTCATCCTCTAACGATTAAAGAAAAAAAAATTTATAGGGTTAGCCTCATACATAGCACAGAGGTTAAACCCTATCTATAGGGAGCTGGACCTCACATGAGCAACTATGGTTCATATCCCAGCCCCAGATGCTTGAAAGACAGGGCTGGTACATGCACATACATGTCCAAAATCCTGACTGGATGTAGAAATAGGGGGGAAGGATTGTGGCATGACTATATGCCAACAGAGGGTGCATTCTCTTTATCTGACAATTAATTGCACACACCCTATGGCAATTAAAGAAAAAAGTTTTAAAAATGTCACAATAACCATTATTTCAGATAATTTCCTTGACAATTACCAATATTTATTATAAAAGTTAATAAGTACGAAGAGAAAAAGCTGGTAAGAATATTAGCAACATCCCATCCTAATCTCCATCACTGTGTTGTTTACACCCAAACCAGCACATCCTCGGACAAACGTGAAAATCTTGTAAATAATTGGTTAATAGTTTGAAAATTAGGACTTCCCTCAGAAAATCGAGGATAATGGTTGCCATAATCAGAATGCCAATTTATGGTAAATTTCAAGGCTCAGGCTAAGGAAGAGAGGCTCCAATTTCAGTTTGGAACACTGCTCTGCAAATAGTTACGTTTTACAACACAGGATAATAAAAGGGCTATTCTCTCCACTCTTAATAATTTTAAGGAGAAGTAAAAACAGGAATGCATAATAAATGGGAGATTCTACCTACGACCTCTCTGAATTTGTCTTGAAATAAACCCTAAAAATCTTAACCAATGTGTCTGTGCAAGTTCACAAGGGTGGCAGGCAGTATTTGTAGTGCAACCACAGCGATCTCAAGTGTAACTACAGTGTTTACAGGGTAACCCATAACAAGAAATCCTGTACATACAGAAGACTACCAATTACACAGGGTAGGAACAGGGCTTGCCATTAGCTGGAATAATCCATGACTTCATGATTCCTTTCAAATCTTCCCCCGTCAGTCCACATGCATTTTAGCACCAAAATCTCCAGAGAGGGTGTGAAACTGTCACTGTCTTATGCAAGTACACAAGATCAGTCAGTGTACAGAGTAACAGCTACCAAGCATTGCTACTAAGGGACAATAAAAGCAACTGAAAAGCACTGTTTACATTAGAAGTGTCTCGCAGGAACTAACCTAACCATCTGTTTCCGTGAGGTCCAAAGACCAATTGATGACCAGTAAGTGTCAAATTCCAACTCACAACAGAAAGATTTCCAAAATAAATCTTACAACAGGAAACAAAAGCAAGACTTATGCCAAGTTACTGTTTATGAAAGACACACAAATTTCTAAAAGTGCTAAACAGGATGGGGAGGAGGGAATGCAGATGAACACATTTTAAATAAGCACATTCCAAACGGGGCATTACCAGAGAGCCACTGATTTCTACAGTATTTGTTTCTTGAAAGCTTTTTTTTTTTCTTAATTGCCCAGGGGCATATGAACTTGCCAGAGACACTGTAAAACAGAAAAAAAGAGTGGAGGGAAGCACCCCCAAATGAGGCATGGTCATGCCACAATCCCTTCTCCTCCATTTCTCCATGCATGTACTTGGGGTACATACATGCATTAGCTTTGTCTTCAGGCTGCTGGGGCTGGGACTTGAACTGCAGTCAGTCTTAAGGGATCCAGCTTCCTGGGAACCAGCAGTTAGCGTAATGGCTATGTCGCTGGACTCCCACGTAGTCAACCGCAGTTCGCATCCCGGACCCGGTGGCTTAAAACTCACGCCGGTCCATGTGCATGCGTGCCCAAGATCCCGAGAGGAGAATGGAGGAGAAGGGATTGCGGCGTGACCATCCCCCCTGGGGGGGTGACTTCTCGCTTTCTGTCTCTATATCTCTCTCTGTCTGGCGAGCGCACGCGCCCTATAGCAAAAACCTCTCTCAAAAAAAAAAAGGGTGGGGGGGATCCTGCTTCCTTACTCACTAGGCCATGGCCCAGCCCTGGGAAGCTTATTTACATTTCAGTAAAGCCATACCTAATACAGTCACTGTATGTAACGCCTGAAGTAAACGTGTTGACTTCGGTACAGCTGGAAAGCTATCTAACTCTCCCATCTTATTTATTTAACTGCCAGAGGGTGCACA